CAACGGGAGAGGCCACAGCAGTGAGAGGCCTGCGTACCAAAAAAAAAAAAAAAAAAAAAAGATATTATCTTTTTCATTACTATGAATGAATGGTGTGAACACAGGAAAGATAAAACTAAAAGGAAGGGGTATGACCATTCTAATTACCATTCCACCAGATAGCCTTCTTTTTCCTTTTGAACAGATTTGTAGGTGGCATGAAGAAGCAAATTGTACATTGAAATGCATGTACTTGAAACCAAAAGCTAGCCAGCTGCTCCAAATCAGCTATTGTTATCAATCTCATCTGGAAAACAACTTATCAAGCAGTTCACAGCTATCAGACGTTAAAATTCTCCAAACTTCATAAAAGAAGTGCTAAAGGAATCAGCTCTCTCCCTCTCTCCCTTTCACTGCTCCCACCCTCATGCCAGCATTTCAAATGACAGCAAAGTCCAGGAGACATCAGTCCTGTCAGACTCAATTTGTGTCTGTGCAAGCGTATCAGAGCCAACTGCCACATAATGACTCGATGCAATCACAGAGATGGAGATGTATGAAATGCTCTCTCAGGAAAGAGGTGATTTGGCTCTCCCCCTTCTCAACTGAAGTGCCATAAGAAGACTAAGTTCTTTCAAATGAACCTACAAATGTTACCTCTGACTTTAAACAGTGATAGGATCTAGAAATGAATGCAGATGTGAACATACCTATTTTTACTTAAATGGGCTACGCCCTTGGCCGAGATATGACAAAAGGAGATCAGAGGTGTGAAGATAAAACCAATTCTAGATGTTCATTCTGGCCAATCTCCACTCTGTATCTTGTTTATTACATAGAAACTCTGCCAAAAGGAAAATGCTGGCTTGTGTATTAGTAAGGTGGAATTTGAATTTTGGAACAAAAATGGGCAGTAGATTTTTAAGAAAACATTTTCAGTGAAAATAATGTGGTCCAGCGGTTAAGACTCTGCACTCCCAATGCAGGGGGCCCGGGTTCGATCCCTGGTCAGGGAACTAGATCCCACAACGAAGAGCCTGCATGCCTCAAGTAAAAGAGCCCACATGCTGCAACTAAAGAAAAAAACATCCCACATGCCACAACTAAAGATCCCGCACTCCGCAATGAAGATCCCGCGTGCCGCAACTAAGACCCGGTGCAGCCAAATAAATAAATAATGAATGCTTTTTTTAAAAAAAAGGGGAAAAAAAGAGAAAAGAATGAGGATGAACGAATGTTATAAGTAGTTTCCTGTACTTTCCAAACTACAATGTTATAAGTAGTTTCCTACCCTGAAGAAAGGGTAGCCAAGCACGCTGCAATGAAAAGGGCAAGAAAGGGGGTTTGGAGATACTAAAAGTACCATGGTTTAGCTTACATCATAAATTATTCTGCATTTGTGCAATAGCCCTCAGTAGGGGTTAACTCCGTGATTTTTATATACCTTGCCCTTTGTGTCTTTTATTAACTGGGACTGGCAGATAAAACAACCATCTAGATGAGCTAAATATTTAAAACTCTCTGATTTCTTATTGCTCACAGCACAAAGATGTTAACAATAATTTTGCTGATTTCCAATCAGCTCAATATCTACTTTTCTATTTATGTACATGTGTGGTTAGAGGAACTAACAGCTCAGAGGGCCAGTGTGTGCAATCTAATATGAAATGAAACAAGAAAAATACACTTGCCCTGAGTCTTATATCACTGCTTCAAGTGATCTGACTAGCTGACACCTAACTCTTTATCTTCAATTTAACATTGGAACCCTTTTCTATAATAAGTATATTTATATTCAAACTGATATGAATGTTTAAGGATTGTTTTCAGCTTTCTGTATTGTTGGTGTTTCTGTAGATTATGTTAACATAAGAGAAAAAAAAAAGGCTTTTCTTTTTAAAAAGATATCCTACAAGTCCCTTAGAGAAATGAGTGATTGTAGGTTTTTTGCAGGAAATGTGCAAAACGAGCATGGAACATCTTGCCATACCAGGAAGCAAGGAGGCTTTCAGGAACTACCAGGTTATATCCAAAAAGACGAGCCAAGGTGACGAGGCTTGGCTCCTACATCAGTCAAAAGTAGGAAAATCTGAGTGGCAAAAAGAATAACAACTGCAATGAAATGGAACACATCACATTAAAATCCACGAGTTTGTAATCTTAAAAGTTATTTTTAAAAATTACATTGGTCAGTCTAGGAGAAAGTTAAAGAATCAAATCATTATTCTGAGAAGAGGGAAAGGGAAAGAACTAAGTTTTTTTCCAAACAATCTCCATAAGAACTTAAAAAAAAATACTGCTTTCACTAGATAGTATTTATCCCTATACATCTTGCTTCTGTCTTAAAATAACCCTATACTTTCAATTCTAGACATCTTAGAAGCAACAATATGGTAATGATATATATATATATATATATATATATATTTTTTTTTTTTTTTTTTGGGTTGTGCGGCCTCTCACTGTTGTGGCCTCTCCCATTGTGGAGCACCAGCTCCGGATGCGCAGGCTTAGTGACCATGGCTCACGGGCCCAGCTGCTCCGCGGCATGTGAGATCTTCCCGGACCGGGGCACGAACCTGTGTCCCCTGCATCAGCAGGCGGACTCTGC